TCTCGCTGATAAGAATCTCCTGCGGGACAAAGATCTCTTGTATCTCTGCATCTGCCTGCATCTCACGCACTTCGCTGCCGTCTGTCCCTCCCTCCCCCTGCCTCCTCCACACAAAAATCCACCCTTGGGGGAGGGAGAGAGGAGGGAAATGAGGGAGGGAAGGGAAGGAGAGAAGAAAGGAGGGAAGAGAAGGAGGGAGGGAGGGAACAAGGGAAGGAAGGAAAGGGAAGGAAGGAAGAAGGGAAGAAAATAAGGGAAAAGAGGGAGGAAAAAGAAGTAGGAAGGAAAGGCGGGAAAGGAGCTAGGCTGTTCCGAGCTGCTACGTCAGCCTCATGCGCCAAGAAGTACCTCATTGTCTCAGCGCCTTAAAAATCGCCGGTGCCTTTTCATCCGCGCTTTCCGAATGAACTGCGTCTCCCTTAAGTCTTTTGTGTGTCACAGGGCGCGCCAAGCCTCGGGTGGCGGGCACACGGTCGCCCTTGTCAACATGTCGCTGAAAGATGGCACGGAGAAGACTTGCCTGTTTGCTCTTTAATTGGTGCCTCTTTGAAGGAGAATAATGGATAAGAAGCGAAGGAGGATCAGAAGAAATCGCTTACAGGAAATATGAGAGAGAGAAAGAGAGAGGGAGAGAGGGAGGGAGAGGGAGGGAGGGAGAGGGAGACAGAGGGAGAGGGAAGGAAGGAGGGATGGATGGAGGGAGAGGAGAGGAAAGAGGGGGCAGGGAAGAAAGATGGAGAGAGAGAGAGAGAGAGAGAGAGAGAGAGAGAGAGAGAGAGAGAGAGAGAGAGAGAGAGAGAGAGAGAGAGAGAGAGAGAGAGAGAGAGAGACGGACAGTTAGGTAGATAGATAGAGACAGATAGATAAGTAGATAGGCAGAAAACTAGACAGATGGAAATAGATAGATAGATAAATAGATTGAGAGAGAGAGAGAGAGAGAGAGAGAGAGAGAGAGAGAGAGAGAGAGAGAGAGAGAGAGAGAGAGAGAGAGAGAGAGAGAGAGAGAGAGAGAGAGAGAAAAGAAAAGAAAGATACATAGAGAGGCATAGACACATGAGATCAAAGAGGAAGAAATTAATAGTGATCTTAAATAAGTTTAAAAAAATGTCTGAATCACACTTTCTGAGGTGGACATAGCATGAAGTTTTTCAGCAGCCTTTGTCTGACTTTATTATTATGCGTTCCATTTGGAGAGCTGAGGAGAGGGGAGAGATAGACAGATGGAGATAGATAGATAGATAGATGAATAGATTGAAAGAGTGAGAGAGAAAGAGAGAGAGAGAAAGAGAGAGAGAGACAGAGAGAGAGAGAAAGAGAGAGAGAGGGAGAGAGAGAGAGGGAGAGAGGGAGAGAGGGAGAGAGGGAGAGAGAAAGAGAGAGAGAGGGAGAGAGGGAGAGAGGAAGAGCGAGAGAGAGAGAGAGAGGGAGAGAGGGAGAGAGGGAGAGAGGGAGAGCGAGAGAGAGAGAGAGAGAGAGAGAGAGAGAGAGAGAGAGAGAGAGAGAGAGAGAGAGAGAGAGAGAGAGAGAGAGAGAGAGAGAGAGAGAGAGAGAGAATTGAAGAAAGAGGGAGACAGATAGACAGATGGAGATAAAGAGATAGATAGATGAATAGATTGAAAGAGTGTGTGTGTGAGAGAGAGAGAGGGAGAGGGAGAGCGAGAGAGAGAGAGAGAGAGAGAGAGAGAGAGAGAGAGAGAGAGAGAGAGAGAGAGAGAGAGAGAGAGAGAGAGAGGAGAGAGAGAGAGAGAGAGAGAGAGAGAGAGAGAGAGAGAGAGAGAGAGAGAGAGAGAGAGAGAGAGAGAGAGAGAGAGAGAGAGAGAGAGAGAGAGGGGGGGGGAGGGAGAGGGAGAGCGAGAGAGAGAGAGAGAGAGAGAGAGAGAGAGAGAGAGAGAGAGAGAGAGAGAGAGAGAGAGAGAGAGAGAGAGAGAGAGAGAGAGGGAGAGGGAGAGGGAGAGCGAGAGAGAGAGAGAGAGAGAGAGAGAGAGAGAGAGAGAGAGAGAGAGAGAGAGAGAGAGAGAGAGGAGAGAGAGAGAGAGAGAGAGAGAGAGAGAGAGAGAGAGAGAGAGAGAGAGAGAGAGAGAGAGAGAGAGAGAGAGAGAGAGAGAGAGAGCAGAGAAGAGAAGAGAAGAGAGAGTGAAGAGACTAGAGAGAGAGAGAGCAGAGAAAAGAGAAAGAGAAAGAGAGAGTTGAAGATACATAGAGAGAGAGAGAGCAGAGAAAAGAGAAAGAGAAAGAGAGAGTTGAAGATACATAGAGAGAGCATAGGCGCATGAGGGGATGAAATTAAAAAGTGTTAAATAAATGTCTGAATCACGCTTTCTGAGGTGTTCATAGCCTGTAGTCTTTCAGCAGCCTTTGTCTATGTCTTTGTCTTTCTATGCTTTCCATGGCTGTTTCTGCTTTCAGTTTTTATCCTGCAACTCTATATTCCTTTTTACACTAAGGAAACAATTATGATAATCATATCGCTCCAACCCAATCTCAGAGGGGTGGGGGTGGGGGTGGGGGGTGGGGGGTGGGGGGACCAGCGCCTTCAGCCCCGCCTCCCCCTCGCGTCGAGGCGTCCCAAACATCTCACGTAGTTCCCCCTCCCCCTTCTCATCATTGCAATATGCACCAATATCCGGTGCGAATGGTGACCCCAGGACAATAAAAACAAACTGTCCCGGCGCTGAACAATATTACGACCTGGCAGCCGTGCATTGTAATGTTGCCAACTCCGACGCTGTCCGTTCTGGCACCACTGTCGTTATAAGGGTGGGGGTGCTGCTCGATCCATTTTGCAGAGGAGGTCCTGGTCCTTAAGGCAAATAAGTTGAAATAAGGCACAACAGCTTTCCCCGCAAGATGAAGGGTTTGTGATTCAGTCATGTAATTTTGAGATCTGCACATGAGCCGAAAATCTCCAGAAATCAAAAATTATCCAGCAATAGTTCGGGAAACCTCCGATCTTCGAGAGACGACGATGTGACCTGAAAAGAAAGGAATTTCAGATTAATAATAAATCCGAACGAATTCACACCTAGGCAAGAAAAATGAATGCTAACATCAAGGAATAAACTAATATCAAATTGTACTACATGCGATTTAAAACAACAGGAGCCTAATTGCACTAATACAGTGCTACTACTATGCATTCTGTTGGAGAGGCTGAAGTTATATGTAAGTAAGTAATGTAAGTAAGTATATATGTAAGCATATATATTCCAATTCGCATGTAAGTATATACGTAAATATATATATTCCATTTATGCGTGTGTAATCATATTTGTAAGTATATACATTCCATTTGTGCGTATGTAAGTGTATACGTAAGCATATATATTCCATTTATTTATTCGCAAGTTATCAAACATGTAAGTATAGATATTCCATTCATTCATGCGCAGATTTCAAGCAAAATAAGCAGCCCTGTGAAGCCGCGGAGTCGCCGGGGAGGAGGTCGAGGCCGAAGCAGCGCAGCGAATACCCTTCCTTCTGCGCCTCTCGAGTCTTGGTCGAAGTCGTCCTCGACGCGTTTTGGTGACACTTTAAAGAGTTAGAAAGCTTGGGAATACCTCTTCTGCTTCATTTAAGGAAAAAAATACATTGCTTTGAGATATTTCTTCTACTTCATCTGAGATTGCTTTAGTTAGACTAGAGGATGAAATTGCTAGGGAATATTTCTTGTGCTTCGTCTGGAAAAAAAGAAAATAAAAATAAAAAAACTGCTTGGAAACATTTCTTCTACTTCAGAAAAAAAACTGGTTCAGTGAAACTTTAAAGAATAAAAACACATCTTTTAATGCTAAGAATGTTTCTTTTACTTCATCTAATATTCCTTTTGTAATTTGGAACATTAGTGGAACCTTACAGCCATGGCGGTAGAAGTGTTTTGGATATTCATCTTTCTTATGTCTGTTTGTCTATCTATCCGCCTGTCTCTGTCTGATCGTTTGTGGGTGTGTGTACGTGCATACGGGTGTGTGTGTGTGCGTGTGTGTGTGCGCGCGTATATATATATATAATATATATATATTATATATATATCTATATATATATATAGATATATACTAGACATATATGCTATATAACATCACATACATATATAGTATTATATATATATATATATTATATATATATAGTATATATATATATATATAGATATATATATATATATATATATCATAGAAGATAGAAGAAGAGAGAGA